GGGGCTGCGACTGGTAAGACCAAGGACCCTCGCTGTCTGGCTCCTGGGTGACTTCGCAGCAACTTGTTTCTCGCAGCTGGTCGACCCCAACTCGATTTGCCCGGCGGCTGGGACTGGCTGAGTAGGGGGCGAAGGAAAGCGGTGGAGAAGCTTGCAGCCCTGGAAGGAGACACTCCTTTCTCCGTTAGCACCGTCCCCTCGTCCGGGACTCCCGAGAACAGAATCCTTTCTGTTCAGTTTCCGTCCGAGGAGTCCTGCCACGCTGGGCCCGCCCGGGATTGTAGACGGGCTTCCCAGGGGCGCTGCGCAAGGCAGACCCATTCTGGGACAGGTACTCTTCCCAGAGCTGCGCCCTGCTCACTCAATTCTGCCCGTTCTCCGCCACCCCCACCTTCCCGTGCCTTCTTCCTTCAGCCACTATTCATGACTTCTCTTTTGAGTTAAGATTAATTTTTTCAAACCACATTCTATCATAATATCAAACTCGAGAACGTCTTCGACCTTTTTAGGTAATCAATCAGAACGTTCACTTCTTTGCCAAATATGTAAACATACCCTTTTCTTGATTTACAAGTCCCAAATGAATACACTCTTGAATCAGTTATGTTCCTGATGAATATGAAAACAGTCAATCATGGAATTCTTGACTTCTCTTCTTGGATTTCAGTTGTTACTTAACTGGTACTAAGGACCTTTCAGCTGGGGCAAAGCAGGTTTAAATACAGGAAGACCCCAAGAGTTCTTCTGAATAAATTAAGACGCGGGTTTGGAAATTTTTCAAATCAGGAAGACACTTTTTACTTTTATACCTTTCAAGTTTTGAGAGAGTAGATTTCTTTTTTATTTTTAAACCTAAGGATTATGTTACTCTCCTTCCTTCCTGTTGGCATAAAGACAATTTGTTAGTGATTAGTACAGTACCTGAAAGGAAAGGTGAGCTTAATCATTGAAACAGCTTACCCTGAGAGAGTTCTTCAGTCTGGATCTCTTTCCTACTGCAGGTTGTAATGATCTTCCTTTTCAGGAAGGCTAAAGCCAGTCTAGACATGGGGCCGGGGTGAGACCCAGTTACTCTAGCTGGGTATGCTGAGCAACTTAACCTTGAGGCAGAATTAACTCCTATTAGTGCTCAGAAAACACAGGGATGGGGTATCTAAAAATAATTTAATGAACATGATTCATTTTTCAATGAATGAACCCTCTGCCTCAAATCTGAAGCAAGATGGTCTTCTCAGTCTAGAAAAGAAAAATCAGAAACTTCTGTCTTAATTTAACCTTAGATATTCAAGGCTTTCAAATCTCCCCTATTTTTTATTTCTTCATTTAGTCACTTTCCTTCCTTTAATGATTCTTAAAGTATTTGAAAAAACTGTTGCCAGCTATCCTTCTGTTCTTTAAACATTTACTTTTCTTCTTTTATTTCCTACTTTTAAATTAGTTGGCTTCTCATCTGAGCCCTTTCATTATCATGTCTTTCTTATGGAAAGTCAAACATATCAAAAGACTTTCCAAATAAAGTCAGTGTTTATTTTACCCTTAATACATCACTGTGTTGCTATTAGCTTCTTTTTCTTGAGGTGGGGCTGCCTTACCACATTTCCAAGGAAGATTGGATATGTCAGCCCCCTCAGTTTCTGAAAACGGATCACAATTGACTAAGTCAGAATAGTAGTAAGCACCTGCTCTTGTGGAGGGCAGAGGCAGCACAGACACACACACACACACACACACACACACACACGTCCTTTCTTTGCATAATTTTCCACAAATTAAAATTAAGATTAAAAATGTTGTACTCAGACGCAGACTGACTTATTTGATATACATCACAGTATGCCGCAATGCTTTCAGGAAAATCATGCCACACCTTGATGAAATCCTTTTTGAAAGAAAAAGACCTGTCTAAATAAACATTAAAGCCATTGTTATTTATAATTTGTTCTCATGTGCAGTATTCAAGAAGTCCTCTGAAGCCCTGGGTGGGTAGCTCAGTTGGTTGGAGTGTCATCCCAATACCCCAGGGTTGCAGGTTCAACCCCCCCCCCCCCTGTCAACTTAGAAGAGTCAACTGATGAATGCATAAATAAGTGGGACAACAAGTTGATGTTTCTCCTTCTCTCTCCCTTTCTCTCTCTCTCTAAAATCTCAGTCAAAAGTAAAAAATTTAATAAGCATAACCAATGGATGCAAGACACTGGGGGTGGGGGTGAGGGCATGTGCTGGAGGGTAGGGGAGGCGTCGAGGAGAGGTCAATGGGGAAAAAAGGAGACATATACTACTATTTGTAATACTTTAAACAATAAAATAAACAAATTTAAAAACAACATAAAGTGGATAAAGCGTCGGCCTGCGGACTCAAGCGTCCCAGGTTCGATTCCGTCAAGGGCATGTACCCAGTAGGGGGTGTGCAGGAGGCAGCTGATAGATGTTTCTCTCTCATTGATGATTCTAACTCTCTATCCCTCTCCCTTCCTCTCTGTAAAAAATCAATGAAATATATTTTTTAAAAAGAATTAAAAAAAATAAAAACAACATAAAATGTAGTCAAACGTGGCAAACTAATGAAGACAGTGCATGCACAAATAAAGTGTGAGAAACTACAAAAAAAGTAAAAAATTTTAAAAAAAAACCTGTAACTGATGTTAAAGTTGCAATATACAATTTCGTATGTATATATACCCTTATTAAAGGATTCTAAAAAGAATTATCATAAGGAGGTCTTTGGTATCCTAGGAATAGAAGGGAATTTAGAACATGTTGGGAAAATGTTTATACACTGGCACATTATGAAGTTTTTCAATAACAAACTGCTACTGTACACTTTAATAGCTAAAATACATAAGGGAGAAAATTAATGTTGTTTCACCACCTTTTCTCATTAGAATTGACATTCTGGATAGATTTTAGATGGTTGCAACTAGACTACTTAGATAAGAATGAACAAATGAAGCCCTGGCTGGGAAGCTCAGTTGGTTAGAGCAGGGGTCCTCAAACTTTTAAACAGGGGGCCAGTTCACTGTCCCTCAGACGGTTGGAGGGCTGAACTATAGTTTTTAAAAAAAGTATGAACAAATTCCTATGCACACTACACATATCTTATTTTGAAGTAAAAACAACACAAAACGGGAACAAATACAATATTTGTATTTGCATGTGGCCCGTGGGCTGTAGTTTGAGAACCCCTGGGTTAGAGTATCATCTCCATAGGCCAAGGTTCCGGTTTCCATCCCCAGCCAGAGCACACACAACAATCAACCAACAAATACATAAGTAAATGGAACAACAAATTGATGGCTCTCTTTCGCTCCCATTCCCCAGAAGGGAAGTAAGGGAGGGTGAGGGTAAGGGGAAGAGATCAACCGAAGGACTTGTATACATGTATATAAGCCAAACCAATGGACATGGACAACAGGGGAATGGGAGCATGAGTGTGTGTGGGGGGGCGGGGTAGGGGTTAATGGGGGGGTTTTCTTTTCTAGATTCCACATCTAAGTGAGATCGTCCAAATCTTGTCCTTCTCTGCCTGATTTATTTGCCTTAGCATATGTCCCTCAAGATTTATCTATGTTGGGGGTTAATGGGGGGGATGAGGACACATCTGTAATACCTTAATAATAATTTTTAAAAAATCTAAAAAAAAAAAAAAGAAATTAACTTTCTTGCCCTGGCCAGTTGTGGCTAATTGGTTGGGCGTCATCTCATGCACCAAAGAGTTTCTGGTTCAATTCCTGGCCAAGACCACAGGCCCAGGTTGCAGCCTAGCTTCCTGGTAGGGGGCAGGCAGGGAGCAGCCAATGGATGTTTGTGTCTCCTCCCCTCCCCTCTCTTTAAAAAATCAATAAAGATTTTTTAATGCTATGCTTCATTGTAAATGCTAACTATTTATTATTAGCCTCAGAATTTAAAATTTGAAATAAATTTTCTATGTGGCTACTATTTTTTCTAATTATTTTAAAATTATTCCTGTCCATAAACCTTACTTATTACATTGAGTATATAATTATTACTGAGAACACTCCCTATTTTTAGATATTTATAATCATAAGAGGAAGTGATCTTTTTTAAAAAAATATATTTTATTGATTTTTTACAGAGGAAGGGAGAGGAATAGAGAGTTAGAAACATTGATGAGAAACATCGATGCACACCACCTACTGGGGGTGTGCCCACAACCAAGGTACATGCTCTTGACCAGAATCGAACCTGGGACCCTTCAGTCCACAGGCTAACGCTATCCACTGATCCCAACTGGTTAGGGCAAGAGGAAATGATCTTAAATATCACCTAGACTCAGTGGTCGGCAAACTGCGGCTCACGAGCGACATGCGGCTCTTTGGCCCCTTGAGCGTGGCTCTTCCACAAAATACCGACTTCTGCGCAAGGGCCATGAAGTTTCAGTCGCACTGTACGTGCGTGCCCACACGTGGTATTTGTGGAAGAGCCACACTCCAGAGGCCAAAGAGCCTCATGTGGCTCGTGAGCCGCAGTTTGCCGACCATTGACCTAGTTCAAAGTTAAGCAGGAAAGAAAGCTCTGAAAAGGCTTTGTATTTTGTTTGAAATAGTAAAGAATGATTCAAAATATTTTTAAAAGTTCAAATTTATTTGCATAAAGCCTTTATGTTTGCAATTGAGAAAGAAAAGCAAAAAGCACAGATAACCACTTCTTATTAGTAAATTTATAGTAGTGGGAGTGCTGGCTAGTTTTCCTAAATTCTCACCACCTGTTGATTCAGTCTTTCATGTTAATGGAAGTGAACTTTTATGGAAGATACACACATATACAGATAGTAAAAGGGAAGTTAAAAAGCAATAAGCTAAGAGGTTTTGGTCTGAGCATTAACAATAAATAGTTTGATATAAGATAGTTTTAATATTCTCTGATTTGTATCCCAAGTTAACTTTTGTTCTGGCCATATTCTTAAAAAACTTAGATATTACTACCTAACAGTGCCTAGGCAAGTTAAAAGATACTTTAATAATTCTGCCCAGCTGGCTCAGTGGTTGAGCATCGATCTGTGAACCAGAGGTCACAGTTTGACTCCAGGTCGGGGCACATGCCTGGGTTGCAGGCTCAATCCCCAGTGTGGGGCATGCAGGAGGCAGCAGATCAATGATTCTCTCTCATCATTGATGTTTCTGTCTCTCTCTCCCTCTCTGAATATTTTTTAAAAAAAACATTTTAATTCTAAAATATGGAGAGCACCTCCTGGTACAATGGCTGAGAGTGTTGGTTGGGGTTAGGGTTAGGGTTTGTCTTTGGAGAAACTGACCTACATCTGTTGAGCACCTAATATAAACACATGCCCAGGAAAGGAGATACTAGGTAATTTTCCAAGGCTGCACACATACTGACAGTGTCAGACTACGTGCCCATTCTTTTTCTATTATACTATACCATGTCTATCAAGTGTGTTTAGTAAAAAAGTAAGTGTAGGATTTAAAGTGTGCTCTTATACTCAAGTATAGTTAGGCTTCATAAAAATTCCTCTTGTGAAACCCTTGAAGGGGGACTGTAGGTAGAAGATGAAGGAGCTAATGATTTGATCTGGTCCTCCTGTTCAATTCTATGTACTCTGAATCACTTGTGTTGCAAATAGCTCTTTTAAAAAGGCATAGCAAATATAAGTAGCATGGTTTTACGCAGGAGAGGGAAATGAAGTGTAGTATTTAGGTTTCAGAGAGGCTTGTTAGAAATTCAAACTAGATTCAAAGTGAAAATAAATATAGGGGATAGCCAGATGTTAATAAAACAAGTCACTAAATAGGGTAGAAAAAATGTCTATCTTCCTAACACAGGGAGTCGCCTAGGACTTCTCTTCTTGCTTTTGGACACTTGTAGTGATGAAAAATTCATTCACAGTGAATGCTGCCCATTTGATTTTTGGATTTTTAAAAAATTTATGTAGTACTTTCTTGTAAATTAAAATCCACCTTGCCATAATATCCATGTAAAAGTTGTTATTCTGCCCTCTGGTGTTATGTAGGGTAAAAGATAATCTGCCTTGCCAATAACTCCAGATGTGGGAAGACAACTATCACTCTCCCT